GGGGCAGGGCTGAGTAGCCAGCCCATCTGCATGGGGATCTTGGTGCAAGGCTCCCTGCAGCTGGGAAGACCCTGGCTCAAGGGGAGCCCAAAGCAGTTTAAGATAGCCCTGGATAACTGTAGTATCATGTTTAATCAGGTTAAGTTAGACTGGTCTATTGAACTTCAGTCCCAGATCCCCTCCCCACCCTCTTCCACCCTGGAGCACATGTATATGCACCCTTAGAACCTAAGGTCCCATCTACATGGTAGACTTAAGATGTGATTAACTAGTTAATCATGTCTTAAGCTGTGATCCAGCAACATGTTCAACCAATTAATCACGTGATAAAACAAGGAATAAACCACAAAGTTATTCCACAAAAAAGCGCAATAACTTTGTGGCTTGTTCTTATCATGTCATTAACTGAATGTGTGTCCAGGTGCTCCCCTGTGGTGTCCTATACCCACAGGAGATGCTTCTGGGGCTGCAAACCTCATCAGCCGCAGGGCCTGCAGTCACGGCAGCACATGGGCTCCCCCTGTACTGACAATAAAGCATGACTGGCTCTGATGCTGGATCCACCAATCATATGTGGCACGGCAGGAGGCATGATTGTGTGGATCCTATATCAAATCCAATACTGCCTTTACCTGAACGTCTACAGGGGGCCGTACCTTCAGCAGTTCCTCTTTGTACTGACAGATCAATTGGTGACAACAGCAGACTGATGTCTCCCATGTGAACCAATACAAGGGAATGAGACAGGCAGTACTGGCAGTGGGTTTTACAATTACTTGTTATATAGAAAGAAACCAACTCAAAACTTTAAATTCAACTGTGCAGAAAAGATCACAGACCCTTCTGCCTTTCTGTCCTTCTGCTTTCTCTGAAGGCTACCCCCTGTCCCTGTTTCATAGTGTCTCTCCTTCAATACATATGTATTGTACTTCCCCTCCACTTGTAGCTTATCTCCTTTAACAGCTCCTATCAGTCCCCATCCTGTCCCTAGCCTGCCCTCACATCTCAAGCCTTCTGCCTTTCAACCAAGCCAATTCCTCTTCCTCCTCCATGCTACCCTGATATTTATTTATTAGATGGATGTTAGGCAACTGAAGTACTGGAAATATAGTTACTCCACTCAACTCCAGCATCATAGTAGCCCTCAGTAGATGAGAGAAGCATTTTGTGGCAAAATGTCCTGCTCAATTCAGAGCTGTAGCATGTTGAATGCAGACAGAATCATAAGAATTTAGCTGCAAGGCTTTAATGAACCTGTACAGAACATGAGATTGGCTGGGGCAGCAAAGGCACCTCTCCTCTTTCCTCTACAGTTTGATAGTGTTAAAACTTGTATGGACAATGAGTGTAAAAATGTTAAACATGTTAAAAAGGTAATATACTTTTCCCTAACCTCACTTTTAGAATAGGCTGAGCCCTCTCTGGCAAGGCCTACAATGAAAATTCATCCAAAGAAAGACACCATTTTTATGAAGAAATCTTAGCCTGAACAGCTGAGATTTGGCAAAGTTATAACTGAAACAGGATATGATAAAGGAAAGCATTAGTTACTCAAACTTGGGTGTCACTGCCTGCTCTAGAAGTCATACCTTTTTAATTCTGCATTTTTCTTCTTCAGCAACTTTGAGTTTAGTCTCTAGACTTGCAACTGTTTGTTGAAGGCAGCTCTTTGATCCATTTGACCCCTCTCGCTGTTCATCATCTACAGAGATGGTTGATATTACTAAAGATTTTTCACCAGGTAAACTGAAAGAGGGAATTGGGATATCCATGGAAGAACCAGCTGATAACCTAACCTAATTCAAAAGAGAAACAAAAGTACACTGTTTGGTGCCAAATAATAAACAACAGATATTTTGAAGTTATTTAAATTAAGACCGTTGAAAATTAAAGCAGTTGCTTGCAATCAAAAGTTCTTGAAGCTGGACTTTGCACATTCCCACCCAGGTGATAAAGAGCTACGGTAGTGGAACCTTAGCTAGAAGAGCCCACTGAAGTACTCATGGTGTGTCCATCTAATGAGCTCCCTCAGGAGTATAAATATGCAAAGTCTATTTCAAACTCTTGGTTACAAGTAAATAACCTTTGTTTCTCCAGCAAGTGGCCTCTTCCTATTCCCACTCATAAGGAATTCATCTAAGATTGAGCAACTCTTCTTTCTGGCCCTTAAACAAGACTTACAATATTTGTACAAAGTTTGTTTACAAATAGGTCTATGAGCAGGTGCCCACAATCCACAAAAATTCTCTACACAACCAGCACTAGCAATGAACACTATTGAGTATTTACACTAACTCAGTTTAGCTGACTTACATTTTCTTTTTCTAAAAGCTGTAGTACTGTTGTAAATATATTGTGAGTTATACACCATTCCAAAACTGCTAAAAACTTATTTAAAATTTTAACTATATACAATTCTAAATTAACGTAAAGAAACGTATGAAACAGGCACCACCTCTTATTCTAAAAAGTGACCAAGGCAAAGGGTCAGATCAGTTCCAAATCCTTGGTTGCTGAAATCCAGAAAGAACTGAAGTGGCTAGAATGCTCTGTCCCCCATCACATTCCTGCTCCCCCCAGCCCCTTTTACAGCTTTACAATTGAATGTAAAGGGAGAGATAGGAAGGGGCATTTGATCATTTCAGTGGTCAGTATTGGCTGTGGTTCTACTGTTGAAGCATCACCAACTGGTACATCTTGTGTGTAAATGTGCAGTAGCCATTTAAAGGACAATTTATATTTCCAGCATTAGTCTTTAAATATCAACCTGTACATTATACGTTGGTTAAACAAAGTAGTCTCCAAAACACTGCCACAAAAAAAAAAAATGCTTCTGAAAAACCATTAGAACATGATTTGACCAACAGCCAGACTAGTGGCACCTAATTAATTGAACCATGAGTAACCTCATGGAAGCTGATGGAGCAATATACTATTAATTATGAGCAAAGGTATTTACAAGATAGCCCAAAGCTTCAAATGACTCAGAACAAACATAACACGTGCGGGCAGGAGACAGTAATTGTTAGCGTTTTAAGAACACATCAGAAACTGTCTAATCCCAAAACTAGTAGATATGACATTCATAAAAGGGTCTATTTCTGAAATCTTTAGTAGCTTTATCAGCAATTTTTCCCCTAAGGAACATTACTAATAAGATCTCCCGTATTTCAGCATTATTACCCCATTGAACAATTTTTAAAATTTTTTAAAAAATTTTTACACAATTTTTTTAAATGTACTACACATCTTAATGAACTTATTTTTACTGAGAGCCACAAAAAGTATTGCAATGAATAACAAATCACATAAAAATAAATCCTCTAAGAAAATACTGATACACTGAAAATATGTAGGTTGATAAACATTTTAAAATATATCTTCTGCCATTTCAAAGAATTCAAAGCTACTTAATTTCATATTTAATATTTAGATGGGTAACTGATACATTTATTTTGAAAATATACCCTTCAAATACACTCAATGGTCAACTTTTGTCCCTTAGGAAAAACAAAATAATCTCTAATTTCGTAAGAAAACATACAATGCCAAGAGACTAAATACATTAATTTACTGTAATAAAAAAACAGATTGTTTTTACCTGTTCTTTAATAACAGCTGGATTTAAAATGCTGTTGCCTGTTTGAACTGCTGTCACTACATTATCACCTGATAAAATGAAGGATTCAGAAGGAACAAGGCAAGCAGAAGGTAAAGAATGCTCCAGCAGAACATCAGAAGAAACATTTTGAGGTACATGGACTTCAGTTACTAATGCAAGACAAAAAAAACCAGATGGAAAACAAAACATTAGATGTGAAAAACCATTCAAAATTAGTGCATCATGTATGTTTCTGAAATCTATACCTTTGGAAGCTACCAAAATATTATTTTTGTTATACAAAAAACAAGGCACAACAACAAAAAATAAAATAGTCACATTAATGTAGATTTGACCTGATTTTATCAATTTAAACTTGCCATGGACTTATTTTCAGTGAAGTGTATTGTCATTGAATTCTGTTCTTGGTACACTTTCCATGTATGTACAGTTTATGTCTGCACACTGAAAGATATCATCAACTGGAATTACATTACTGTTCCATAATTATTTGAATTTGAGGACCTCCTCTTGGGCACACTACAAAAGCCATTTATTTGGGGAAAAAATTAGGAAAAGTTGGGAAACAAATGTGTCTATTTTGATTCTTTTACTGGCTGCCTCAGGTAATCTATTATTTATATATGAATATTGTATACAATTAAAAGAAATCAAGCAACAACTATCAGAACACCTAAACCTTTTTGAACAGCACTTTTTTATTATTACTTAAATCTAACTCCCCTCCCACAAACATGCATACATCTCTTATAAGAAATCTATAGATAAACATTGTGACAACCAATATGGATGAAAGCTTTTTTACACATGATAAAGCATGACATTTTGTACATCAAATTACAACAGAAAAACTGGAAGGGAAAAAGAACAAACAGAATAAGCCAACAACCAACAATACACAAATCCAATAAGTACTATGGCAGGTCCAGAGCTTTTCAGCAGTCATATACCCAAAGAAGGGATTTTCAGTTATAAAACATGAAACTAAACAGTGAACATAGTTAGTTGTACATTACTAAGATCTAGAGCGGGTGTTAGATAGGAGAATAGAGGGGCCCACTAATTTTGAAACCTAGGCAAAACACTCTGCGTTGGGAGGAGGGTGGCTGCTGCAGCACCAACAACTTCCAAAGGAAGCTGCCATTCTGGTGCCCCCTTTAAGTGGGCACCTAGGGCTGGTGCTCCACTTGCCCACTCAATGTTATGCTACCAGTGCCCACATCTGCATACTGGATGACTTAAAACTACCCTGGCCTGGTAAGGCTCACTATGGCTGGGGCCTGGACAACTGCACTGGCTGCTTGCCACTGGATCTGGCCTTTTACTCTGGTAAATCCATCAGAGGGTGTGCTTTTTCAACAGTGAAAATAAAAAAGCCAAATTTACAACATGCTGTCTATAGAACACTACATGAAAAGCTAAAATGTACCTTAAAATTCTTTTTGAAGAAAAATATTTGACTGAACAATCTATTAGCAGTACATATATTTTTATAAGGTTAACTGACAACTCTGTTAAGTATCCTGCTTTCAGTGACTTATAATTTTGCCAATTTATGTAGAATGTTTCAAAGTAAAAAATGTAAAACTAGATTGCTTCTGCTTTCTTCTGTTACCACTTAGCCTGATCAATGCAGCATCCAAAACTTAAAATCCTGTTGTGATAACAGCAAGCATTTAGAAATACAGGTAGGTTCCCCCTTTTCACTGCTTCTACCAATCCAAACACCTGACTGAAGGAAAGAAATAGAAGACAGAACAGAAAGACAGAACAAGGGAAAAAAAGAGGGCAGGTTCTAAAAATTGTAAAGTTCCTTAGAGGAATGGAAACAAAGAAAGACTTGCAAACAGACTGTACTGAAACGTACAACATTTATAGTTAGTAGCCAACATGAGTAAGCAATACAGCAAACCAGCACAGCACATGGTGGAATTCAACCAAAAGTCAATTTAAATGGGGGGGGGGGGGGGGGGGGGGGGG